GTATCACTCCACCCTCAGTAATCTTAGAGCGGCGGCTGGATGGGTGGTTAGGTTTAGGCTACAGTAGCTAACCATGCAGCTGTAGAGTAGGCAGTCCAGTGCCAAACAATGCCATGCTCCAAACACATCACAGTGACGTCATAGCTCACACCTTCACCTTCACAGCCGGTCAGGGCATTTCATGACTGGCAGTGAGATGTGGCATTCGTGTTTGGACGTAATCAGTGGGTAAGTTATTAGTTTTTAAGAATCGCCAAGGAAATTAGATGACAGAGGTAGACACATTTCTTGGAAGGCAAGAACATGTCCTGCTGTCCCGCTATTTATAGTGTTTATGTGCTATATATAGTTTTCTGAACATCATTCTGTGTTTCAGCCTCGAGTGACCCGAGTCAGGATCCCAGCAGGAGAGAGAGGGTTGCACAGATTCCAATGACAGTCTGATCTACACGGTAGGTGGGAGAACCCAGCAGGTGGTAGATACTGTCACTGTCCAACTTGGACAAGATGTGGTCACATCATCATGAAACAAATATCAGCCAGAAAGCTCACCCAACAAACCTTCATATAAACAGAGACTAGTATTAACAAGTTGATAAATGTAACCTATTAGTATGTTATAACATTGAACTGACACTACCACCATCAGGCTAAATCCACCAAACGTGTCTAGCCACACAGCGTACATGAACAACAATCTATTTGTTGTATATTAATGATAGTCACTTAAGTGATTTCTCAAACACTAATCTACCTTGTATTTATACCTCAACAATAAAAAAAACATATTTTTAATTCAATTCATCAGTGAATATTTTAAAAGGCAACCCATTTGTTGGAAGCCAATAACTTGTCTTGTTGTCTCAATATTAATAATGTCTGTGTGCTTCATATAGTTTTCTGAAGAGCATGTTCTGTGTTTCAGCCTCGAGTGACCCTAGCCAGACCGCGAGGCCACAAGTGACGACCACAAAAAAGCCTGCTTCACAGGGTACGTGGGAGAACAGAGTGGTAGTTCATCCCTCAACCCTTCATTCATATATATATTGGTCAGATTTAGTCAAATCTAAATATATTTTTTCTATTTGTATACTTATCAGGTATTACTATTTAATGCATTTACTGCTGTTTTTTGTCAGAAAGAGGAACTGTGAGAGGTCCAGCTGCTGAAGACAAGTTGTTCCAACCAGTAACTGGCAGCACCCTTGCAGTCAGCACGTGACGCGGGAGCGACGACGTCACACAAGATCACATAACTGCTTTGTCATCTCCACAAACGGACGTGTATCCACTTTTGAATACATCTGACTGTTTGCTAGCATACCAAGCTTGTTCTTCACATCATCATTTGCTCATATAGTGTATTCTGTTTAGGGTTTGTGCCCTCTATGGTCTTCCTGTATGTATTTTATAGGTAAAACATTTATGGTGAATCAGTCCACCCTCAGTAATCTTAGAGCGGCGGCTGGGTGGGTGGTTAGGTTTAGGCTACAGTAGCTAACCATGCAGTTGTAGAGTAGGCAGTCCAGCGCCAAACAATGCCATGCTCCAAACACATCACAGTGACGTCATAGCTCACACCGTCACCTTCACAGCCGGTCAGGGCATTTCATGACTGGTAGTGAGATGTGGCACTCGTGTTTGGACGTAATCAGTGGGTAACTTATTAGTTTTTAAGAATCTCCAAGGAAATTAGATGACAGAGGTAGACACATTTCTTGGAAGGCAAGAACATGTCCTGCTGTCCCGCTATTTATAGTGTTTATGTGCTATATATAGTTTTCTGAACATCATTCTGTGTTTCAGCCTCGAGTGACCAGAGTCGGGATCCCAGCAGGAGAGAGAGGGTTGCACAGATTCCAATGACAGAGTCTGATCTACACGGTAGGTGGGAGAACCCAGCAGGTGGTAGATACTGTCACTGTCCAACTTGGACAAGATGTGGTCACATCATCATGAAACAAATATCAGCCAGAAAGCTCACCCCACAAACCTTCATATAAACAGAGACTAGTATTAACAAGTTGATAAATGTAACCTATTAGTTTGTTATAACATTGAACTGACACTACCACCATCAGGCTCAATCCACCAAACGTGTCTAGCCACACAGCGTACATGAACAACAATCTATTTGTTGTATATTAATGATAGTCACTTAAGTGATTTCTCAAACACTAATCTACCTTGTATTTATACCTCAACAATAAAATAACATATTTTTAATTTAATTCATCAGTGAATATTTTAAAAGGCAACCCATTTGTTGGAAGCCAATAACTTGTCGTGCTGTCCCAATATTAATAATGTCTATGGGCTATATATAGTTTTCTTAAGAGCATGTTCTGTGTTTCAGCCTTGAGTGACCCGAGCCAGAACGCGAGGACACAAGTGACGACCACAAAAAAGCCTGCTTCACAGGGTACGTGGGAGAACACAGAAAGTGGTAGTTCATCCCTCAACCCTTCATTCATATATATATATATTGGTCAGATTTAGTCAAATCTAAATTTATTTTTTCTATTTGTATACTTATCAGGTATTACTATTGAATGCATTTACTGCTGTTTTTTTGTCAGAAAGAGGAACTGTGAGAGGTCCAGCTGCTGAAGACAAGTTGTTCCAACCAGTAACTGGCAGCACCCTCGCAGTCAGCACGTGACGCGGGAGCGACGACGTCACACAAGATCACATAACTGCTTTGTCATCTCCACAAACGGACGTGTATCCACGGTGGAATACATCTGACTGTTTGCTAGCATACCAAGCTTGTTCTTCACATCATCATTTGCTCATATAGTGTATTCTGTTTAGGGTTTGTGCCCTCTATGGTCTTCCTATATGTATTTTATAGGTAAACATTTATGGTGTATCACTCCACCCTCAGTAATCTTAGAGCGGCGGCTGGATGGGTGGTTAGGTTTAGGCTACAGTAGCTAACCATGCAGCTGTAGAGTAGGCAGTCCAGTGCCAAACAATGCCATGCTCCAAACACATCACAGTGACGTCATAGCTCACACCTTCACCTTCACAGCCGGTCAGGGCATTTCATGACTGGCAGTGAGATGTGGCATTCGTGTTTGGACGTAATCAGTGGGTAAGTTATTAGTTTTTAAGAATCGCCAAGGAAATTAGATGACAGAGGTAGACACATTTCTTGGAAGGCAAGAACATGTCCTGCTGTCCCGCTATTTATAGTGTTTATGTGCTATATATAGTTTTCTGAACATCATTCTGTGTTTCAGCCTCGAGTGACCAGAGTCAGGATCCCAGCAGGAGAGAGAGGGTTGCACAGATTCCAATGACAGTCTGATCTACACGGTAGGTGGGAGAACCCAGCAGGTGGTAGATACTGTCACTGTCCAACTTGGACAAGATGTGGTCACATCATCATGAAACAAATATCAGCCAGAAAGCTCACCCCACAAACCTTCATATAAACAGAGACTAGTATTAACAAGTTGATAAATGTAACCGATGAGTATGTTATAACATTGAACTGACACTACCACCATCAGGCTCAATCCACCAAACGTGTCTAGCCACACAGCGTACATGAACAACAATCTATTTGTTGTATATTGATGATAGTCACTTAAGTGATTTCTCAAACACTAATCTACCTTGTATTTATACCTCAACAATAAAAAAACATAAATCAAATTTAATTCATCAGTGAATATTTTAAAAGGCAACCCATTTGTTGGAAGCCAAAAACTTGTCGTGCTGTCCCAATATTAATAATGTCTATGTGCTTCATATAGTTTTCTTAAGAGCATGTTCTGTGTTTCAGCCTCGAGTGACCCTAGCCAGACCGCGAGGACATCAGTGACGACCACAAAAAAGCCTGCTTCACAGGGTACGTGGGAGAACACAGAAAGTGGTAGTTCATCCCTCAACCCTTCATTCATATATATATATATTGGTCAGATTTAGTCAAATCTAAATATATTTTTTCTATTTGTATACTTATCAGGTATTACTATTTAATGCATTTACTGCTGTTTTTTGTCAGAAAGAGGAACTGTGAGAGGTCCAGCTGCTGAAGACAAGTTGTTCCAACCAGTAACTGGCAGCACCCTCGCAGTCAGCACGTGACGCGGGAGCGACGACGTCACACAAGATCACATAACTGCTTTGTCATCTCCACAAACGGACGTGTATCCACGGTGGAATACATCTGACTGTTTTCTAGCATACCAAGCTTGTTCTTCACATCATCGTTTGCTCACATATTGTATTCTCATACATATTTTATAGGTAAAACATTTATGGTGTATCACTCCACCCTCAGTAATCTTAGAGCGGCGGCTGGATGGGTGGTTAAGTTTAGGCTACAGTAGCTAACCATGCAGCTGTAGAGTAGGCAGTCCAGCGCCAAACAATGCCATGCTCCAAACACATCACAGTGACGTCATAGCTCACACCGTCACCTTCACAGCCGGTCAGGGCATTTCATGACTGGCGGTGAGATGTTGCATTCGTGTTTGGACGTAATCAGTGGGTAAGTTATTAGTTTTTAAGAATCGCCAAGGAAATTAGATGACAGAGGTAGACACATTTCTTGGAAGGCAAGAAATTGTCCTGTCTGTCCCGCTATTTATAGTGTTTATGTGCTATATATAGTTTTCTGAACATCATTCTGTGTTTCAGCCTCGAGTGACCAGAGTCAGGATCCCAGCAGGAGAGAGGGTTGCACAGATTCCAATGACAGAGTCTGATCTACACGGTAGTTGGGAGAACCCAGCAGGTGGTAGATACTGTCACTGTCCAACTTGGACGAGATGTGGCTACAGGGGTTGAAAAATACCATTGCCCGACGCCCGTGCCAAGTAAGGTTTAGATGTCGGGCGTGTAATATACGTTTTCTAGCATGCCCGTGGACAAGTAGAGCACACAAAATGAACTGGGTCAAGTTTCACGCGAATGTAATCATGTGATCATGTTACGGTATTTGATTGGTTAATATTTTGTTAGTGTCCCAGACTGACAATTAATTTGCATACAGCTACGCCAGTCAACCAATGGGATTAATACATTTCGATGTCAGGCAGGTCAACAACGAGAACCAGGCTTGTTTCATTGTTAAATCGTAGTAACACTTCCATATATGGCACATGTTTCTTGGAAATTGTAACGCGAGATTGAAACATTTTCCGACTTTAGATGCTTCGTTAGGCCTAGCTTTGACTTTAACGAGTGAAAGTATGGCATTTATTTAATATGTGTTTCTTTTCATTGTCAACTAAAGTTCATTCGAGGCGTCAATAGCGATAACCTGACCGTGGTTGCTGTAAATAACGGCGAGTTGTGCGATCTATCGACCCCTTTACGCACGATTTCGGCAAAATTGATCTAAACTGTATTGAATGAAATTTTAAATAAAATTAACAAAATATGCTTCAAACATATGTCAAGGTACAAACGTGATTTTTTTATAACCAGATAGTAATAATTGGATTTAATTGCGGAATTTGTTTAAGGTATTTCCTGTGTTGCGTGCAGGTGGTAATGTTTTTGCGATGGGGAAATGACATCGTGTCAGTGACTTGAGTTTACTAAAAGTGTATATAAGTTTTGGGAACCATGTGTTACCGCACACAATAACCGAGTTAGCGCTATATTGAAGAGTGCAATAGCGAGGGATCACTGTAAGTAAATCTGTTGTTTCAAATAAGTAAGCTAGTAAAGGACAGAGTAGTCTCCCTTTGCCTCATTAGCACCCAGAGGGGTATCTGCAATAACAATTTATATTGCCAGTACCGCACATGGCCGATCATGTCTCAGCGGTCTATTTTAAGTTTCTTGGCGGTGGGAACGAACTTAAAAGGAAGGCAGAGGGAAATTCCGAAAGTTGTATATCGGCAAAGAATAAGAAGTATGACGAATGTAAACGAAAACGAACATTCATCGCTGGGTGGAAAGACCAGTTTCCTTGGGTTGCGTATGATGACACAGCGAAAGTCATGAAGTGCACCATTTGTTTCAAGTACCCAAACATACACGCTTGCAATCGTAAGAGAACGTTTATTGATGGATGTTCAAATTTCAGAATTTTATTCTCAGTTCTGCAGCAGTAACATTTTACTGAATTTATTAGCTTGATTTTGGGCTAGTACATTTTAAAATAGGGCAAGAGAGAATGTTGGTCATACTTGCCCTTGGTCAAGTAACATTTTAAATAATTTTTCAACCCCTGGGCTACATCATGAAACAAATATCAGCCAGAAAGCTCACCCCACAAACCTTCATACAAACAGAGACTAGTATTAACAAGTTGATAAATGTAACCGATGAGTATGTTATAACATTGAACTGACACTACCACCATCAGGCTCAATCCACCAAACGTGTCTAGCCACACAGCGTACATGAACAACAATCTATTTGTTGTATATTAATGATAGTCACTAAAGTGATTTCTCAAACACTAATCTACCTGTATTTATACCTCAACAATAAAATAACATATTTCAAATTTAATTCATCAGTGAATATTTTAAAAGGCAACCCATTTGTTGGAAGCCAATAACTTGTCTTGCTGTCCCAATATTAATAATGTCTATGTGCTATATATAGTTTTCTTAAGAGCATGTTCTGTGTTTCAGCCTCGAGTGACCCGAGACGGACCGCGAGGACATCAGTGACGACCACAAAAAAGCGTTCTTCACAGGGTACATGGGAGAACACAGAAAGTGGTAGTTCATCCCTCAACCTTTCATTCATATATATATTGGTCAGATTTAGTCAAATCTAAATATATTTTTTCTATTTGTATACTTATCACATAACTGCTTTGTCATCTCCACTAATAAATCTTACATTTTGTTAGCATTCCTTGTTTGTTCTTTACATCATGTTTTGCACAAAAATATGTGAATTGTACATAACCCAGAACTCTTGTTTCTGATGAAGGTGAGAACTGCTCGGACAAACATCCAACTGAGTCAACGCAACTTATCAAAGGCTATGAATTGTGTTTCCAGGTATTTACCTGGGTCTCTGTATTTTGGGGTCCATTACCCTCAGTAGCAAGTTTGGGTCGATCTTAACTCCCATACTTTAACACAGGCTAATGACGGTCGTAGCGCTACGATCGCTTTGTGGAACAGGCCTCTGGCCATGAACATGGGGGCTTCAGGCACCAAGATGTGTCCATCTTCCTGAGGCAAGGGAGTTAACTGACTATAAAAGTCCAGTTTCCATCCGGAAAGAAAGAAGCTTAGTACGCCAGGGTGGAAACTGGAACTTTCTAGTCAGTTAACTCCCCTGCCTAAGGAAGATGGATGCTTCACACTTCACTTGGTTTCTGAGAAAATTAAATCCTCATTTGATAGGTTCAGAAGCCTTTCGCATGTTACAGATGCTTTCTATGCCACACTGGAGAAAATCAGCCAGACGCTCGAGTGTTTCAGCAAAATAGAAATGTCAGTTACTTAGATATGTAACAAGCAATCTACACATGATTACACTTAATGATTCAAACAGCCATACTTGTTCCTTCCCCTAGGAATTGCAGTGGTAATTAATTGCATCCACTGTTTTGTTTCTCAATAAAAAATATTGTATGAAAAAAATTGTACGTCGAATTCAAATGTGTATGGATTTGTACAAAATTTCTGTACAAAAATTCATGGCTTAATTCCTCCTCCCCCCCCTTCCATTCAATACAAATTAAACTCTAAACATGATCCACTATCTGCCTGCATATGCAAGTATAGAGTCTGCCTTTACACCTTTCCTTCACTGTATTATGAAGTCAGGAAAATAGTCTTAATTGAAGCAGATTATCATGAGAAGGGGGGATAACTCTATAGTTACTGTCGATATATAGATCTTGAATATGGGGACTTATTAGGAAATGTCTCCAACAGTTTCCGTTTTTAAGGCAGAACCTAAATTCAAGGATTTTTCAAGCCTGTGTGAACCCCAACATCTTCACAAAAACTAACGAGTACATCTCCCATTAATCTCATCACACAGATAGCAAATAACACCAGTCACCAGACCAGCGTTCAGTGAGTCTGGTTTGTTAACACATGACAGATATATATAAGTGTTTATACACAGCAGGGTTACTTGATGCTGGCATTACAGGGATGTATCCACACCAACAGAGGACAATATTCAGCCTCAGTCTGCAGCAAATGTCAGTAAAAATTCCCAAATGGGAATTAAACACTTCCCAGTTCATGCTGTTATGGTTTGGTCTAATTGACTTAAAGAGGATGCTTAGTTTAACATTGTTGTATTGAATGCAATGTTAAAATACCTCTGAAAAAATATGAACAAAATAATGATTTTCCAAATTTGGTTGTCAAGGAAACTTTGCCTGGAATCCTGGAAAAATCCCTGCAGTAAGACATCTTGCATCCCACTGGTGTACATTGCTAATTAACCACTAAACATCACCTACAAATACAGGTAGACGTTGATACAGGTAGACGTTGTTGATGTATGTACTATAATGCTGTGTTGTATAAAGAAATCTAAGCACCAAAATCTGAAACAAAAAAGATCTCGCCTGCAAGATCTGTTCCTCCATAACATACGTCAGTCATACCAGGGTGAATATTTGCTTGATTTATAGCCAGTCGCTTCTATGGACTGTTTTCTGTGTAACCATGGTGACATGGCTTCAAACAGACCTTGATAGCATAAACATTCAAATCATTAACTCTCTATAGATGAATGTTTAAGTAAATTTATCAAATAACTTATCAAGTAAATTAATCAAAATATGTAAAAAAATTAGGTCTCACTTAAGAAAAGTAGAATATTTCCAGTCCTGCTGAAAATTTCCATTTTCCATCAGACATGAAATAGCCTATCTCAAGATTTGCTCCTCATCAAGAGGGGTTAAATATAAATTCAAATTGCCATAATCCTAAGTTTTTGAAGAACGTGTACAGGAGGAATATTGTATCTTATTTCAAAAGATCAAGTCGACAGTTCAAACTTTAACATTCCATCTTCATCGACAAGACTTTGTATCAAGCAAATAATTAACCCGAGTATTCTCATCATGCTCATTGATCAACCAGAAACATCAACAAAAACTCTTCAACGTTGGAACTCATGCAGTGGGAACTAATCTCGCCTGGAGGATCAGTCGATGGCTACACGTTTTCTTCACTCTCAACTTTCTCTTCCTCCACTTCCTCCTGCTTTTTCCCGTCAGGTTTCTTAGGTTTGTCTCGGACGGCAAAACTCAGAGACTCCTTGTCAAACTTCAGCAGCATGATCCCCAGCTCTCCGTCAAATCGGTTCTTGGTGACCTGGGACACAAGTGAGTGAGTGAGTGAGTGAGTTGGGTTTAACGCCGCTTTTAACAGTATTCCAGTTATATCACGGCGTGTCAGCTTAATGTGGGAGGAAAGCCCTAAGTGATGCAGGTCTTAGACGTTTACCACTTCGGTGAAACCCACGAGCACGGGTATGGTGCTGACAAACCTAGAAACATAATCAGAGCCAACCGGGATTCAAACCCACAATCATAGGTTTCTGGTGTGCCCAAGGAATGCAACTCTGCACAGCGAATCGCGGCGCCTTAGACGACTGGGCCACCTGTGCCCCCAAAGTGAGTGAGTGAGTGAGTGAGTGAGTGCGTGCGTGCGTGGGCACACTTAATGGGCTATGAAATAAAAATCAAGTGGAAAATAGATCCCAGGCCAGTGAAGAGCAAACACTTGAACCACTTGGCTACTCCATCGCCCATATTAGCTGGAGATAATCATTCAAGGACCATCTTCAAGCAAGGGAGTCAAATGACTGTAAAAGTCCAGTTTCCCCCCATGCGATTCTGATTGTACTCGTCCAGCTAAAATATAACACAATTATTCCAGCCTAGTTTGGCAAGGGTTGAAACTGGACTTTTTACAGTCGGTTAACTGCCTTGTCTCAGGAATAAGTCAACGACCAGCTTGTAGTACAAATAATTCTATTTCAGAAACCCAGCCAGCCACACTCAGCAATATTCCAGCTATATAACAGCAGTCTGTCTTAAGACAAGCATGGTCGCCTATTATGGCAAGCATGGGTTGCTTAATCTACCCGAATCTTCATGGGTTATCATCCAATGTACTAGCTCAAAACAAATATTACGAGTCTTCATAAACATACAAATCGGTTGCTGAAGACCAATTCACCCCGGATGTTCGCGGGTCAGTTCTGCATGTAGTTGACGTGACCTCTCACCTGCACATACTTCCGTCCCCGCAGAGAGCTGAGTCGTTTGTCCTGCAGGAGGAGGACATTGTCGGCCTCCTGGGAAGCCTTGGCGCTGCCGAATATCGATGCCGTCGTCAGCTCATCCGTGTCCTTCTCCTGGGATACAGAGTGAGTGAGTGAGTGAGTGAGTGAGTGAAAGAGTAGGTGAGACCTGTATTTATCAACTTGTTTACCATGATGGACACCCAGCACCCTATCAGATACGCCCGTGAAGTGAAAGTTGCTTAATGCTAGTCTGTAATCATCTTCCCGAGGCAAGAGAGTTAACTGACTATAAAAGTCCAGTTTCCACCCTTGCCGAACTAGGCTGGTATTATGGAGTAACATTGTAGCTGGACTAACGAGTCTATGCATAGTCCAATCAAAATCACACACCGAAATCGAAATCCGGTTCGTAAACTGTCGTGCAGATTTCGATCGATTGCAGGATTTGCAAAGCATGTGCACCGCCAACTCATTGTCAACAGATATTTTCCAAATCTTTTCATGTTTTTAATCAAGGTGCTCACGTGATTTGATGCATTTCGTGATGGAAGACCCGGTTTTTTTTCAGAATATAGATCTTGATTATTGAGCAGATCATCCTGATTGGGCGCCACCATTTTGTGTGAAGCAACGTAAGTGAGACCAGAGGTGGAATCTGATTGGTCCATAGGAGTGGCTTAGAAGGGACATAACTGGTAATAGCAACTGGTGGTGCTACGATCAAGCCCAGTGATTCCAGCCTAGTTCAGCAAGGGTGGAAACTGGACTTTTAAAGTCAGTTAACTCTCTTGCCTCGGGAAGATGGTCTGTAATATTCAAGTTGAATCTGATGGTCTGTTAATCTGGACCAGGCAAAGCTGTAGTAGCATGACGCATGACACCATCCTCCACACTGCCACCACCTGAGCTTCAGAATAACAGTCCCTGACAGCAGGGCATGGATTATTTGGGGCTTCTTAGCCCCAGGTTCCTTACAAGAACAAAACCCACCTTCCTGGGATGAATGACGAGGGAGACATGACAGTTCATTGTCGTGGCGAAGCGTCTGAAGGCCGAAATGATCATATCCTGTCTGGTGAAGCGATCCGTCATGTCACCATTGACGCCCATCATGAACTGCAGGTTGTCGACGATGATGTGGGCAATGTCGTGGACATACACGGCATGGGACATTGTCTGTGAACAGAAGACAGGACATTCAGTAAATTTAAGAGTAACAACACTTTGAAATATTTTCAAAATAACTTCATAGAACTGGGATTTTTTAAAGAAAAATAATTTGTTCCTCAAGTTTTAAACACAAATATTCATTGTACGTCTCAATGTCCTGAAATAATTGTGAAAATGTTTTGTGAAAAGAAATCAAACTTCCCAGCTCCTTGATTCAGATCAGCATTTGAACATTTCTAAGCAGTGGACAGACTAAAGATCCTGTTGCGAATAAAGTCCCAGGAGTATGTTGATTGGTTCAGCTCCTAAGAGGGGTGTCAGTTTAATCCGCCTTTACCAGTACTTTATATTTATTATTTAGGCCTAAAAGTAGGGTGTTGTTCTACTGCATGTTGTATTATTGATTTGTTCATTGTTTTATCCTGATGATAATCTTCATGTTCAACCATGAGACTACACAAGGGTCAGGTAAACCATGAAACTACACAAGGGTCAGGTGCTCACCTCGATGACCCTCTTGATGCTCTCCTGGCCGTGGAAGGTCATGAAGAACATGGGAAGCTCCTCAAACCAATTTGCCCAGTGGTCAAACTCGTGAAGGTTCTTGGACAGATTTTTCCTGAAATCAACACAGAATAGATGTCAAAACAGAGCACCTGTCAACACAGAATAGCGGTCAACAGAGCACCTGTCATCACAGAATAGATGTCAATACAGAATAGATGTCAACACAGAGCACCTGTCAACACATTCCATCATGATCATTATCTGTGTCAAACATGTGAATTAATATCTAATGTGCAAAAACATGTCCTAAATACAATAGCATTGTTTGTTTCTTGTTTAACGCCACATACGGCACTATTCTAGCCACATGACGACACATTACGGCCTGTAAACAATCGAATCTGGTCCAGACATTGATATCATGAGCATCGATCTACGCAATCAAGTGATCGATACTGTGAGCAACAATCCATTCTGTTACAGTAAGATGACACACAATCAACCAAGTCACCAAGTCAGACCACCCACCTCTTACGACCATAATAATTGCGTCTGGACCAGACAATCCAGTGATGGACATCATGAGCATTGATCCACACAATTGGGATACGATGACATGCATCAACCAAGTCACCGATCCTGGCCACCCGATCCCGTTAGTCGCCTCTTACGACAAGCAAAATCGCCTCTTACGACAAGCATGGGTTGCTGAAGACCTATTCTACCCCGGATCTTCACGGGTCGTCATCATCATATATTAGCTCCTAACAAATATTACGAGTCCTCGTAAACGTACATTGCAAACTGGGTGAGCATCATCTTGCCAAGTCGAACATTGTTGATTTCAAAGCTACCCCACATCGTGTTCACCTGTAAAAGAGAGAACCTTTAGTTTACATAAATACAACAAAAATAGCACCAATTATACAACACAGAGGTTTCCATTACAGTCGAACCTTGTGGGTTCGTGAGTTCGTGAGTGAGTGCGTGCGTGCGTGAGTGAGTGAGTGAGTTTGGTTTTACGCCGCTTTTAGGAATATTCCAGCAATATCATGACAGGGGACACCAGAAAAGGGCTTCACATATTGTACCCATGTCGGGATTTGAAACCAGGTCTTCGGCGTGACAAGCAAACACTTTAACCACTAGGCTACCCGACCTTGGTTTCGAGACATCAAGGGAATGTTACACTTGGGTCTCCCAAATTAGTTCGAGACAACAGGGAATTTGACACAACTAATTTCGACACAACGTCATTTTCTAAGTGGTGGCCAATTTGAAATGAATGTCCAAATTCAGTGTAACATCCACTCCATAACACATGTAATGTACACTGTTAAAGATTGTGCATCATTGTCAGAGGTGTATGTGGACTCACCCCCTGCATGCAGAGGTCGAGGGAGTAGTCGCTCATGAAGGTCGTCTTCCCCGACCCTGTGGGACCGGTAAACACAGTCAGTTCCCCCCGGCGGTGCCCCTTCAACAGACGGTTCAAGGCTGGGTAGCGCCGCCACTGGAACAGACAGACAACATACATGAATGTGTGGACAGGTGCCCTCGTTGACAGGTGCCCTACTCTACTTTGACAGGTGCTCTGCATTGACAGGTGCCCTGCATTGAAAGGTGCCCTACTCTACATTGACAGGTGCTCTGCATTGGCAGGTGCCCTGCATTTACAGGTGCCCTACTCTACATTGACAGGTGCCCTACTCTACATTGACAGGTGCTCTGCATTGGCAGGTGCCCTGCATGTACAGGTGCCCTACTCTACATTGACAGGTGCCCTACTCTACATTGACGGGTGCCCTACTCTACATTGACGGGTGCCCTACTCTACATTTACAGGTGCCCTACTCTACATTGACAGGTGCCCTACAATGACAGGTGCCCTACATTGACCATGTTCCAACATCCTGTGCCTATGGTTCTTGGCTACATAACGGATCGGGTGGTCGGCCTTGGTGATTCGGTTGGGTATCATTGTATCCCAGTGGCGTGGATCAATGCTCATGATATCAATCACTTAATGTTCGCATATGGCGCACTTGGTAAAGCAGTTTGCAAAATTGAAACAAATTCAGTTTACAGTGGTAGCCCTGGGACCGCACACATTAATTACCGACAGTCTCTAGGATCCACAAGTACCTATACCAGTGCTTTCAGTGACTATATATATATATACAACGGAGTAAAGACAATGATCATGTGTTTTTTTCAAGTGTTCCACAGGCTACTTATGAAGATATTTAAGTGTGCAATTTGAAATTTATGAGCGCAAACGAGAATACTTTGATCCATCTTTGAAGTTTGAGAATGTCATTTCACTATGAGATACCCCCTTCCTTTCAATGAAATCTATAATAACCTGTTCAGCTCCATACTTTTACTCCGTATTTACCTGACAAAGAGGCAAAAGTAGCTCTGAAACGTTAAAGGATATAAAGAAGTTGTAATCCATTTAAAAAAATATGTCATGTATACTTTGTGGACCATACTGTCGATTAAACTTCATAAGTTATCTATGTTCATGGTCCATGCGTTTGTCCAGTTTACTGTTATGAAGGTTCATTCACCCATGGCTTCATACAATGAACATTTTGCTACAAAATCACTTCTCAATGTGTCAGTCAGGCACAAGGCACGTACAGTAAACTAGGGTTATAACAAACTCAAAGGGACAAACATTATTGTACTTATATAGCAACGTGCTGCTTGTACTAGTCTGGACTGATGCCAATTTATAGTGCCAGCCCACTGAGATACCATTCCGCAGTTTAACATGAATACCCCACTCGGACACAGTATACTGACTCCAAGCCGACCAGTCCTTGTTTTAGGCCCTTAATGCCAAGCGTCAGACAGGGTAACAAGTACCATTGTTTAACGTCTTTTGGTGTGACACGGCCGGGGATCGCACCCCGGACCTTCCCCTCTCCGGGCGGACGTTCTTCCACGGAGGCGGTCAGTTCCTATAAGCATATATATATAGCATATACAGCATGGATGGATGGAACCAAGAACAGTTTGTCATAAGCGTGTTCGTTATAAACGTAGTGTACTGTATTATAAACATGCCCCTGGAACTGTGATACAGGGAATTATGAGAACCGTATAGCTGACCTTGACCCCCGAGACCTGTTCCACGTGGGCCAGCTCGGAGAAGACTTCCTGTCGGAGTTGGGGGAAGGACACGATGGACTTGTGGCTGAGCGGCTTCGCCTTCGACAAGATGGCCTTCAGACGCAGCCCTTGGTTTAAAGCTCGGAACGGGCTGGGGTCTTCTGCCGTAGGTCTGCGATGAAACATGTAAGTCTTGATCCCAGAACATTCATCATACCCCTTTAAACTTTGTTGTTTAACACGTTTCACGCCACACTGACCAATATTCAAGCAAAATGCCTACAAATAATCACATCTGGATTCCAAATCCAGGGATTCACGTTCACTTATGATCCACGTCATTGGGGTATGATGATGATATGTTACCAAGTCTGAGTCTGAGCATCTAATTGATTAACTCTTGCCTCTTCCGAAAGGCATACGTCAGTGGGGATGTACCCTAACCCGTTATCCCCACGGATGAATTTATCAGTGACAAAAATGATGCAGTTCCCTATTTTATCTCATATCATATGTTCCCGTGTTTTTTCAGGTGAACAATTGACTTGACTTTGCATTTGTTTGTGACAGGTACTACAGGTGGGGCAGGATACGCTCACCTTTTCGAGAACACCTGATATCATCACTATGTGATAGTGATTTATAAACACATGGTCATGATATAGTCGGAATCATACAATTGTGTGCTTTATGCAGAGATTTCTATTGGATATGGAAAGGGTTTTGTCGCAATATTTACAACAAACAGAAGCCTATGAGGAGGGAGACTTCAAGCCCTGCAACCAGCATGAGGAACAGAAATGCCTGGGAACTACTGCGGCTCCATTGACCAGTGTCCAGCGGTGCTCACCTGATGACGAAGCATCTCTTGTTGTTGAGTTTGTTGGCGAACTGCTTGGCCCCCGCCCACGCCCGGATGTCGTCTCCGAACCACAGCAGGATCTTCTTGAACCTCTCCAGAGAGGGTAGCACCTGGCAGCGAGTCGGGATAACTTTAAACTTGGTTGTTGCATTTTTGTTTGTTTGTTGTTTAACGGCACACTCAGCAATATTCTAGCTATATGACGAGCTGTAAATAATTGTGTCTGAACCAAACAATCCAGTGATTGATATCATGAGCATCGATTAACGCAATCGGGATATGATGACATGCATCAACCAAGTCAGCGAGTCATACCACCTGATCCCGTTAGTCGCCTCTTCCGACAAGCATGGGTTGCTGAAGACCTATTCTACGCCATCAGCATACATACAATGAAACGCTATCTGTGACATCACTGAGTCTGAGCATCTGATCCATTAAGACAACTGGACCACCCATGCCTCTCCTCAAGTCACGGACACTGGGAACCCATTGTATCCCTGCTTCCCCAACAGGCAGCTACAGTTCCACATAAAACAGCCAGCTTCAGAACAAGTCGGAATACATTCACAACAAGACCATCATCTCTCACCAGATCATCTCCATGGAGATCAAAAAGGGTAATTCTGATCACAACTCACCTCTTGAGCTAACACTGCATACCCCCGTGGCAGTGACAGCGCTGGTACCTTGGTTTCCTGATAAGCCGCCATGGCATTCAGCTCACTGGTTGTCATGACAACCTCTTTGGTATCAGCGCCAATGGTGTTCCAGCCAAACAAGCCGAGGGAGCCAGTCCTGGAAGGAAGTCCAGACAAGTTTCACACACAGCACTACATTTCATGTGTTGTAATCCAAGTGAATGAGACATGGACCTTACATCGGTCCGCAACACTCAAGCACAGAGAGTCTGTACCGAAACGTCGACTTTACCGTAAGCTCCATAAATTGTGTCTACTTTGTTATGTACAAATATAAACAAAAATGAAGACATAAAATTGTTAAAAATTAGTAACAACATGCAGCAAGAATCTCCTCGTTCCTACTGAATGTACCTTGGCACCGATGTCTCTCGAAGCGTCTTGGCGCCATCTGTTTCTGCAAGTCTACAAGTAATCTTCTTCAGGCCCAGCACCTCCCCATGCAGATTGTGGTAGGGAAACACCAGGCATCGGTTCTCAGGATTGTACTGCACTCCAAACTTCTCCAGAGTCGACTTGTTGATACTCTAAAATAGAAATTGGGAACTCAGTTAAGTTTCTTCAAATGCCAATATTACTCGAATTGTGTGGCAGATAACATGCTATAAAACATTCACAAACTCTGGTTTAAATACTGGATTAGATTGAAATCCTACACTTGATGAATGTAATGTTTCTGGTGTAGGTGGGATAATATGGGAGTTGGTCGGATCCTATGTCTCATCTGTAGTTGTTCACGACAAGTTGTCTCCCCCTACCTTAGAGGTCACTGCAGGTTTGCTTCCCTTATCAATCGGCACCATTCTCCCCTTTCCGTAACCTGCACGAAGACTCGTCCCCGTATTGATGAATGTTGTGTGCGAAAACACGACAAACCAAGCAGAAAGCGCATATGACTTCAAGCACTCCGGTCAAAGAATCCCCCAGGAATAATTTGTGATTATGATGTCTTGCATCTACAAATAAACCTGAGATATTATACTGTATGACTGAACACATATTACTGTAAGTCCCCATGTGTTTAAATAGCATCTGGAATACTTTTGATATATGAGGGAAATGTAAGCATGGTAAGTGAATCATTACACAACGAGTTGACGATTCTTTTAGTTACCTAGAATGAGGGGGCTAAGAAGGGGGGTCGTCTTATACACAGAGTCGAACATCTTACATTTTTTTTCCAGTTGTTTCACTTTCAGCTTCCACTGGCGATGTCAACCGGTGTCCAATAGCCAGCCCAGCATTTTACAATAAAACTTTGTATTTCGTCCTAAATAACTGTTCCAATAACTATTTCCAAACATAAACATGATTTGTATCTGTTTTCCTTGAATAAAGTTAAATCTTTTCTGCAAATAAAGTTGAAATGATCCTCGCCCCGATCCAGATTGTCAAACCAGCTGACACGGTAAAACAATCAACATCTGTGAGTAGAGAGCCGGAAGTACCGGTAAGAATTTGCATATTGCACATGTGACCTAACATGTGACAACCAGCGAAGCTGAAATCAATTCCCATTGTTTTAACAGTTGTATTAACAACTGTTGGAGACGGTGCGGATAAGTGATTGTGGAATAAACAAGCTGAATGTGAAGCAAACATAAGCCTAGTTAGTTACAACATAGTTAATAGGCAATTAAATTACTCACCACTGTCTCTTATGTTATTACTTCATAAATGAATTTTATTTTACTGGCACCAATTTGGTGTTGCACCGTGTAAACACAAAATAGCGACGTGTGCTGGAGTTACGCACGCGACCAATCATCATAGAAAAAACAACAACGCAAGATAAACATATTTTTATTACAAATATAAGGTTTGTGTGCACACATGTGATGTGCTTCATTCCAGGTCGCTGTATACACGGAGTATAGGATTTTGGGACGATTTTGAAGGCATGTACGGGGGGGTCATCTTATACGAGGGGTCGCTTTATACGGTATGCCCTTTTGCATTCAGATGGAACCCAATCGCAAAAATGGCCACGAGTGGGGCACGAGTCGTTAAGTGGCTTCTCCTGGAATACAGGTTCTACTTCACCAAAACAGAACCAGTTGGGACAGTGCGGTTTTCGTAAGGAGCCTTCAGTGCAGATCGAGAGATATCTGCAGGCTGTGATTGGAGGATATTGTGTAAGATTTTTATGTCTTTTAAATGTACATCCATCCAGTTATTAAAACTGACCATGTTTTCTATATTTTTTCAACATGATGAGTTATGCTGAATGTGACCACAGATACTTTCAAGTAGCTGACATTTGGTGCGGAACTGGGGGTGGTGTATTTAGCTTCCTGTACTCAGAAAAGGAACTGGCTGAGTCCTTTTTTTTGTTTTCATTGCTGCTCTGAGGCCAAACTGTGCACACACGTACAGGTAGTAGCTGTTGAATGCTTAGTTATTTTTTTTCAAAAATACAATGTTACTATAGAAGTCACAAGAAAACATTTGGTTGTGTGTAATCAATTATCAATAAATACTGTCGACCCCCAGACCAGCTCATAACAGAGTTATTTCCCCTACCTGGCAATCCAGGTCACTTCGGAGTTGCTCCACTTGTTCTTCTGTAAGATCCTTCACCGGCAGGGTGTCTGACCAAGTTTCCATCACACGAGACAAGTCTTTCTTCAGATGCTGCACACTGTCCACGTCCTTGAAGCACTCGTAGATCTTTCTGCAGAAAACACATGACTTGATAATGCCTGCAAATCTGACCCAAAGCCTGGAAGACAGGCACCCACTTCAGTCTACACTATAGTATAAGTTGTAGCAGGATCACGAGGGTACATGGGGTTTTATGCATCCCATCTACAGCTCGTGGTATAAAACCTGCTACAACGAATTTATCTTACCGACATGTTCTCATGTGACACTGTAAAAGAATTAACACTAATTCAAAATTGATAGATTGAGCCGAGGTTATCTTGTGATGTGTCATGTGACTTCCATTGACTTAGATAAAGCGTGCGGGTCTTTGCTTGAAGCGGATTTATCCTGCCTCTCAGAAATCCACATTCAGCCTAACTTGCTCATGGTGGGGTACAAGAGATTTATTCCCTGCTGAGAAATGTATTACTCTCCAAGGCGGGATACACAGTATTGAATCAAGACCATGTGGACCAATCAGATCTCATCATGCTAACATGGAGGTATTACAATGAGACTTAAATAAGGAAGACCTCATATTTCAGTCAACAGGATCTTATTCAGACACACACGTTACTGTTAAATAGCAATGTTTAATAGACTAAACAGACTTGTGTACTGTGATCACATTGTTCCTAATCACATTGCGCTAATCATTAAAGACCAGACACCAACTGGTTCCCCATTCATTTTTGGACTTTTTCCTTTTTACTATAATCAGTCAGGGTGGCCTCTTTGGGATGTGGATTTTCAATTCCTACTGCAAGACCCGGTTTTTCGCGTGCGTGAACAAAGTCACTGAAGTGCGTGTAAAAGGACTTTGAATATCCTGTGTATTGGTGTCACTTCACCGTTAGCACTTAGTTGATAATTACCATGGTTCATGCAAAACTGGCACCACAAAAGTACCTTTTTAGGCCATTGTGGGGTAAACATCAAACCCTATTCATGCTTTTCAAGGCTAAAGCTTGGACACCAGTAAGCCTTAAAACAGATTTACTTGTTCATTGTTAGAATGACTATTGGCAACAGCGGATCCAGCAGTTTTAAAGGGAGGGTTCAGTATCAAATTCCTCTCTCTGAGTGTGCATGTGTGTCAACATACTACTTTGTTTTCAAAATGGTAACAGTATTGTGGCCATGTCTGTCCCTGATGACTTCGTACAAGACTTACTTTTTCTTGAGGCTTGCTGTGAGCGAGATGTTGTCCTTCAATTCATGCCAGCCACCAAGCTTCCCACACGCCCCACACAGGAAGTGACCTGTCGACAAGGTCAAAGTGGACATTACCACGACAAGACAGTCATGAGGAATACAAGAGCGCACATAGCAGTGTTTCCATTATTTAAACGTTAAAACATAACCTGGAATATCAGACACAGTCAGTCCCAAGGACCGGCATGAATACTATCAAAATAAGTAGGACTACAACAGAACTCACAATTCTCCTCACATACAAAATAACAGCATCAGCACATGTCACTCTGTAGTCAACACGAACCTAAATACATCCTGAAGGTTATAAAGTAACACCCTACAAGCCATCTTCCCGAGGCAAGGGAGATAACAGTCTTTAAAAGTCCAGTTTCTACCCTTGCCGAGCTGGCCTGGCAATTTCTCGACTCGATCGTAGCGCCATCAGTGGCTATTACAAGTTATGTGCCTTCTATGTACCCCCACCACCGTATTCCACCTCTCATATCACTTGCAATTGCTTCAAATAAAATGGTGGCGTCCGGTCAAGACGATCTGACCGATTATCAAGATCTATCTTTAACAAATGTTATATTTGGGATATAGAGAAACTCACCCTCGTGTCTTTTGATATCAAATATATCAACACGAGTTGAATTTTTCCACTTTTATAAACTCGTGTTGATATATTTGATATCAAAAGACACGAGGGTGAGATTTTATTTATCATCCAACATCATTCTTTCAACTTTTTCAATTTGAAGACAGTAATTAGCAGTGTCTTCAGTGTAAAAAGTACTGCTAACAGCTTCAGTAGCAGAGCCATTAGTGATGTCATTTGATTGTGACGTCATGGTAACCAGTGACATCACAATGGTCTGCAAATGTGATGTATTTCATTGCAGCGATATCTACAGTGTAGATATCGCTTGATCTCATCCAAGCGATATCTCCTGTGGGAGCCAGTTTTGGATGATAAAATACTTTCTTAGTAAAGTAGAGATTCTCGTATTATGGGGGGTTGGGTCCTGTCCAGGATTTGAGCCCAAACTGCCAGATTGAGGCACCTAATTGCCAGCACACAAAGTCAACAATCTAACCCATGTACTCTCATGTGTTTTCAGGACCAACTGTTTGAGAGGAAACAAGCAACATGGTGAAGCCCAGGACAGGGCGCAGTTTCAGGAACTTGATTAAATTGCACCAGGTGTATGTTGACATGAAAACCTAGTTGCACCAGACAAAACCAGGTTGCAACTTGGTCCCATAAATTTATCAAAGTTGAGACAGAGATGCATAAACATGATAAACATGATAAACTGGTCTAAATATGTCAAATCTCAGACGTCTGTGATGCAGTATGGTAAATAAAGCTGAGAGGTACTGAGAACATTCAAAGATAGATGCTGTGGTGACAAGTAAGGGTTAGTCAGACAAAAGTTCAAAGCCAAGTAAAGGCTGCTGTGTTTGTTGGTTTGTGTGTTTGTTGTTTAATGCCGCACTCAGCAATATTCAGGCTATACAAGGTCCGTCTGTAAATATTCAAGTCTGGACTAGACAATCCAGTGATTGACATGATCACAGATTGGGATATGATGACATGCATCAACCAGGTCAGCAGACCTGACCCCCCGATCCCGTTAGTCGCCTTTTACAGCAAGTATGGGTTGCTCAAGACCTATTCTAACCCAGATCTTCACAGTATACAGGTATGTAGGGTGATGTGGACCCAGTAATTAAACACCCCATATAGTGAGTGAGATGTGCTTACCACTGCTTTGAACAACACCTAGGTTACAAAACATAATGTGGATGGACAGCACAAAGTGACTAGGGTACCTTTACCACCCAGGAGTACTATGGTGCGAATACACCAAGGTTCATAATCAAGACAAGATCAGGAGACCCATGAAGATCCAGGGTAGAATAGGTCTTCAGCAAACCATGCTTGCCGTAAAAGGCAACTAATAGGATCGGGTGGTCAGACTCGCTGACTTGGTTGATGCATGTCATCGATCCCAACTGCATGGATTGATGCTCATGATGTCAGTCACTGGATCGTCTGGTCCAGACTTGATTATTTACAGACTGCCGTCATATAGCTAGAATATTGCTGAGTGCGGCGTTAGACAACAAACAAAAGAAACCAAGATCTGCGACCATGGAAATACGAAGGAAGAGAACTCTGCACAAGTTACCTAAGGGGCATTAGACATCTTGAGTGTTGAGTGTGTGAGAGTTGGGTTTACGCCGCGGGAACATCATTGTGATGACACCAGCAATGGGCTTCACACATTGTACCTATGTGAGGAATCAAACCCAGGCCTTCAGCTTGATGAACAAATGCTTCAACCACTAGGCTACCCAATTTCCACCAGTGTGAGCTAGTGAGTTTTATTTTTACGCTTCTTTTAGCAATATACCAGCAATATCACGGCGGGGGACACCAGAAATGGGCTTCACACATTGTACCCATGTCGGGATTCGAACCTGGGTCTTCGGCGTGACGAGCGAATGCCTTAACCACTAGGCTACCAGACCGCCCCTCCACCAGTGTACTACAGAAGTAAGCATATGTACTTACCAGTTGTCATATTAATATACAATTTATCTGTTGCACAAGATCCTTTCTTCTTATTTAATTTAGGACAGGCTGTGATGAAACATGTGAAGCCTTGTTCAAACTTCATGTCACTCTCCGCCAAGAACTTCTGAATCTCGGACGTAGTCACAACATCCTCTTCAAGAAAGTTGATGTTCTTTGTAAAATGTCGACATTGAACATAATGAGGTAGACAGGCAGTCGGTGATGCACAACGCCATGCACGACTTCTTTGGTTTGTAATTGCACTTAAACTTGTTCTGTTATAGCGTGAAAATATTCGTGAAAGACTAGAGTGACGTAAGCCCTGATGTGTGGAAATATTCCTCAAAGGCACTGAACATAGATGTGGTTTTAACCGTGACGTAAAGGAGGTAGGATGGCAAGTGTGTTTCAGGAAGAACAAGGAAAGAGTCTGTTCCTTTAAAGAAACTCTGGCAGCTGTGGATCCCATTAACTGCAAATAATCAGACTGACAATCTAAATGTCCATCAATGTCACAGACACCTCTTGTCAGACTTATGTCTGATTGACAAAGACTGATGGTGATATCATCACAACACATGTTTGAATTACTATGGAAGCTTCGAACACATCTGGGTTGAGTTCCAGCCTCTTGAAATGTACAGGAAAAACCATCATTTCTACAGTGATACTTTGGATATTCAGTCCATGTTTGTTGTTTGATAATACTTTGTACCTGGTAATACAAATTACGCAAGTGTGTGTTGCACACATAACTCTCATTATGGTGATTTAAGCATGTGTTTGTGCGGGAGTTTGAGTGAACACTTGTCCTTATCAAATATTTCTTGATGTACGCTGCGTTGGCAATTCTTGGGCAGGACTTCATGGTTTGCTGGTTAGCTTTCATATCATCTACAACAGCTGATCCAATGTTCCTGGAAATAGACAATACTCTTAAGTCAAATGTAATAACATATATATATCATGATATATAAGATCCGGCAACCATGCAGTTTACTGGTCGCAGCCCGAGCACTACCATCCGCTCAAATACCACTCTATAGTGCCACCATTGTCTCGCTATACCGTTACCGTGCCTCATGCTCCGGTGACACTCGCTTCAAGATCCAACACCCCTTTTTGGTCCTTAGGGTTAGCTTGCTTAGGGCAAGGGTTAGCCATAAATTCTTACTTTTTCAAGCATTAATCTGGTTCATCTGATTGGTCAGTTATGTTGATATAAACAATCGCGGGTGTGACGATACATGCATGCACAACTCATTGTTTACTGGATTACGCATGCATGTTAATGGGGTGCTAATGACCCGTTAAACGAGCACTGATTACATGTGATTACATGTGATAGAGCGTCAGCTAATTAACACATTAATTAGCCAAGCCGGTGTGCCGGCGAAGGGCATTCGACACCGCTAATTGGATCTGAACAAGTGCACCCGGTAAAGTGCACTACTCCCAAGATCCCAAACATAAAAGATTTCTAAATCTGAGACAGACCATATTTGGGATCCACTCTACGAACTAGATCACCAATATTAACAGAAAATGCAGCGATAGACACAACCGGGAAAGACTTCCGCCGGTATCACCCCTCCAAGGCATGCATTGCCGCTAATTGCTTTTTATCGTATATATTTCTGAGGGGGGGGATACGGGCGGAAGTCTTTCAATGAACTGCGGACTAGTTGGACAAATATGGCCAATGGCGTCCGTCCATGAATTGCATTAGAAAAAAACCACTTGGATTATGCAATAAGTGCATTGACACTGCCACTGACTTGCAGACTAGTGCAGCTAATGCTGAGACAACACAAAGTCCAACCTTCGCACCGACGTAAATGATCCGATCGTTAACAAACTGGTAATGTATCACGTGTAACTTTTGAATGTCATTCCCATAAATGCACGATGTTTACAAATCTACACCAGCAAAAACTCAACTAATATCAGGAGTGAAGTTCTATTTCAGCTTGCAATTGGCCAACTTACGTTCATCATTTTCAAAACAATCTGTAGCAACAACTGTCATCGTGCATGATGGTTTCACTTCAGCCCTTTACAAGGTGCTTCTTGCAGAAATGTTCGTGCCATCTGATACCACGAGCACTGAGCCCGCCAGAATGCACCCGAGACTAGCAAGGGAGGTAACTCTCCTCTCGTTTTACTTTCATGCAGACCACAGTGAAAAATATTGTGAATTCAAAAATATAGAAAATTCAAAACGAATGGCTTTATACAATATTAGTGTAGAGCCTGAGACGTACGAGCACCCCCGAAAGGACGTAAAATTATGGCGTAAGAAACGCCCATTTCGAAAAACAATAAAGTAATGACTAATGTTTTCTTAAAATTTACTTACAGTGGCTTAGCACTCTTCCAGTGTATAATATTTATCACAATAGAATGGAGCTATAGCTAATTTAAAACTTGTCAATGCTTACATTATTTACAGTGGAAAATTCAAACTTATCAATTCACGTGCGCCTTGTATAAATAAACGTCAATCTCATTAAAATCAGATCTTAGTTCTGGGTACCGGTAAATAAAGCGGTAGGGAGAACTTAGGTCTGATTTTAATTAGACTGAAATAAAGGCGCGACAGGCGAGTTTCTTACTCTTATCCTAATAAAAATGTTCTTCAGTAGGTTGTGTTTTTTGTTGTATATTTATGAAAAAACATAATCTTAGCATGTATTGCTTTTAGAGAAAGTGGGACTATATGAAAAAAATGTAAAGTTTACTCACTGTTAGCGCACATGTGTCTAACAAAGAAATCGTTAAAGTGTCGGTATTAACTAAAAAAGTTAAGAGTGTATCGTCGTAATCAGATCATGTGTTTATGCACACTTGTGTGTCTTATTTTGCATTTTATGATGTGTGACAAAATATTATTTTCATCTTTCATCTTTGTTTCCGGAGTAATGAGGAGTGACATTTCAGTGAGGGAGCTTGGCCTCAATTTTGTCATTGAAAACTTTCCCCGTAAAAACAAGCCTCGTTCTCAAGTGCGACCTACAAACAGTAAACATAGTTTGCTAGCAGATGACATATTCACTCTCTCGTCTGTCAACTGGGGGGCGGTCGGGTAGCCTCGTGGTTAAAGCGTTCGCTCGTCACGCCGAAGACCCGGGTTCTATTCCTGACATGGGTACAATGTGTGAAGCCCATTTCTGGTGTCCCCCGCCGTGATATTGCTGGAATATTGCTAAAAGCGGCGTAAAACCATACTCACTCACTCACTCACTGTCAACTGGATAAACAGAGGTTTTTACTAAAACAACTGTGTTTTGTTAGTTGTGCATGTGACGAAATATATTCACTGTATTAATGCTTTTCACCTGGACCCCGTTCCACAAAGCGATCATAGCGCTGATGTGATCATAACTTCCATACTTTAACATAGACTTACGACAATCGTAGCGCTAAGATTGCTTTGTGGAACGGGGCCCTAGGTGATAAGGTTCATTCTTTTCATGATCAGGACCATCTTTGCTAATCTTTCCCTACTGTGCACGTGCATACCTGACAGGGGCTTCATGGGCTACCATACTGATACGATATGTTACATTTCTTCGTAGGAGGAATACCATAATTCAAAGTTTTTTTTCTGTTTTCTCCGCAAGTACCTGGCTTTTTGGATGGCATACGTGCACACACATTCACAAGATGCAAAATTCTATGAGCTTTTAAAGTTCAACATAATATTGATGCATACACTAGCCCATATGGTACAAATGTACTTGATATTTTCCACTTGAAAATTCAGTAGCTTTAGACATGTTAGAGGTGTCAGAATTCCAATATGTTCATACCTTTCTTGACAAATCTCCCGTGGTGTAAGTTGGAAGTCGCGTGATGATAAACAGTGAGTAATACACATGGTATTCCAAAGGCGTGCCAAGAAAATAACAGTTGAAACACACAGTTTAGCCGTGATTGAGCATACAAATGCAATAGCCAGGGTATAATCCAACAGGAGTCATCCACGGCAGTAACAGTAGTATTCTGCTACAGCAGACGACAGGTTAGAGCCAATCATTTTACTGATAGAGGTCACGTGACTAAAAACCTTGACTGCCGTGAAGGGTTACGATTCCTAATTAAACTAACAAACCAGTTCAGATTTCAGATTTCAGTTCTGATTCAAATGCGCAAATGTTTGTTCAGTGTGATAGCACTGACAAACTGTATCCAGATGGAACTAAATGTCAAACACCACAACCTGTAAACAATCAGTTCAGACCCCTGACACACAAATTGGATTCTCAATGAAATACCAGTCAAGACAAATTTAAACAAACGGCGTGAAGCTGCCCTACAGTAATTGCAGTAATGTAGCCTATCTGTCAGTGGAATGTGATGCTGTCAGTAAGGTGCCAGATTTGTTTATGTTTCTGTCCGCTCTGTGTGGGACTTCTTGGTCACTTCGAGGGGGAAACTGGGGACTGTCTTTTTATCCAATTAAAAACATGTTTACAGTTGTAGCTCCTCCTATTTTAAGTTGGATTTAGGAAGCTCAGTGATCAGTGATTGCAGGAAACCTGTGAATTCGCCCCTTCTCCCAACGAGACAGATAGTACCGATACTTTTTGTGAATGACTTTTACCCCGTGAGAGAATATTTTGAGGTCACGTGGCTTCAGCAAACTTCGACGTTCTCACAGCAGCTACAGTGCATGGATGGTTGTATTCTGGTATTATTTTGATAAACAGACATACGAGGAAATGGGAAATATATGAAAGTGTATCAGGGCGTGGAATCAGCCCACAGATGCAATCCTTATCTTTTCAGCTTGCTGAAGGGGTTAACCCCTTTGGTCATGTGGACGAGACGTCATACCTCCAATCAGAAGGACTCCGACATTTTATGGCCGCTACATTGGCGCCCAACGTGGGCCTGGGCACGTTCATTTTACATTTGAGCCAAATAAGTCTCAATACCCTACTATGCGGCCCGGGACGAGGCTTCTGTTGACTGGGGAGTATGTAGCAGGGCGTGGAGTCATCCCATAGATGACATCCTTACCTTGTCAGTGTAGCAGGGCGTGGAGTCATCCCATAGATGACATCCTTACCTTGTCAGTGTAGCAGGGCGTGGAGTCATCCCATAGATGACACCCTTACCTTGTCAGTGTAGCAGGGCGTGGAGTCATCCCATAGATGACATCCTTACCTTGTCAGTGTAGCAGGGCGTGGAGTCATCCCATAGATGACATCCTTACCTTGTCAGTGTAGCAGGGCGTGGAGTCATCCCATAGATGACATCCTTACCTTGTCAGTGTAGCAGGGCGTGGAGTCATCCCATAGATGACATCCTTACCTTGTCAGTGTAGCAGGGCGTGGAGTCATCCCAAAGATGGCACCCTTACCTTGTCAGTGTAGCAGGGCGTGGAGTCATCCCATAGATGACATCCTTACCTTGCCAGCTTGCTGAAGGGGTTAACATCTTTGGTCAGGTGGTTCGAATCCCATCACGGGATTATGGTCGCTACAAAAGCATAACATTTTCATGTAGCATTTGTATTAAAAAAAATTAAATGAGCTAGGTGTCGTGCCCAGGATTTCACACTTCCTGTGATTGGGGTTGTGACGTCACTATGGGGGCTTTTAGCATTGACTCTTTTGATAACCTGTGTGAAAGCGAGGCTTGGTTTTTATCTGTAAGCGGTAACAAGGATGAGCTGCACACTATAAAGAGGTGGTTGGGAGGTGCGGTGGGAGGCCTTAGAGATATCTACTGATACTGCAGTGATCTACACTTGACAAACATAATAGACTTGCATGGGCTGTATTTGATATATATTTGTATCAGGGTCTGTAAGACAACGCGGACGCCCCCTTTCCACCTGTGATAGAGTCCGGTTAACTCGGGATGGAGATACTCTAGCTCTGCAACGTGATAACATGATCGTCAAGCGTGAGTGCCGGAGATACGCATTTGAAACACTGACATTTCTGTCTTTTCTTAAAACGGTGGTACAAAAGAGAGATACGTTGAAATACAAACAAATAAATGTTTTTTTGGGTTACGATGGGGATACAATTGGGGATACGATGACATGCTTCAACCAAGCCAGTGAACCTGACCACCCGATCCCGTTAGTCGCCTCTTACGACAAGCATAGTCGCCTTTTATGGCAAGAATGGGTTGCTGAAGACCACAAATAAATGCATTCGACAATCTTGTTTGCCGTCTTTCCGAGGCAACAACTAACATTGAACTGTGCGGTTACACCAGTGTTACTTCAATACGCCAGGGAAGATACCTACAAAGCACGTGATACTTTGTTACACGGTGGTTTCTGCTTGGTAATATGATCTCCGTGATCAGTCCTAAAGATACACCATCCCAAGCCCCCCACCCCCACCCCACCCCACACACACCCCCACACCCCCACCTCCTGCACCCTGCATAAGGACTAGTCTGATACAAATATATATCAAATACAGCCCATGCAAGTCTATAATGTTTGGCAAGTCTAGATCGCTGCAGTATCTGAAAATGAAGAGAGTCTCTGGGCTCCCTTTTATTATTCTTCCCCGCCCTTAAGGCGGGGTAATATACGGGAAACGTTAATTTTGAAGTATGTATGTCGACATGTTGGATTATTTGAAATTTCAAGCCACGCATTTACGGAAACAAAACATACAAATCATGTGCGTGGAATGTTGATGCTATTCTTTTCCAGCAATAAGAGATACTTCAAAATCGTCTTTATGTAGTTAATTGATGCATCTGGCCGTTTCTGGTCATTAGCTGACATTATTAAACCATTCATGTGTAATCCGATGTCCTTTCTTCCTCAAGGACTAATTTTCTGATTTTCATGGTGTATACAAAAGAAGAACTGTGCTCCGGAGATCGTAAATAACAGCATAATAAAAATTATGTTCTGAATATGCTTATTCATGAACAACGACGACATCTCAATTTAAATGTAATATGGCTGAATTCCACATTCTACATACCACACTTTTGATTGTTTGGATGCTCATGTTCCCTGGAAATATTTGGAATAGTTACTATTCCGTATTTTGAATTAACCCAGTCCCCCGTGTTTTTTTTAATCAGTGCACCGCACATAGCCACATGTGAAACGTTTGGTAGCAAAGTCAAAGCAAAATCGGAGTAGTGT